CTTCCCCGAGCTGCCGCCGCGACTGGCGCCAGCACACGCGTGACATCTGGTGTCTGGCCCGTCGCGTCCACGTCCTCGTGCCGTCGCGCTGACACCTCAGCGGGCGGTCCGCCATCTTCGACAATCTCCAGGGCCCCGTCCACTGGACCGGGCGCATCACTGCGGCAGGCCACAGGGTGCGGCATAAGTCTGGCACCATTGTAGAGGGCCGTAGGATCATCCCCAACCCTGGCTGCATAGCCCTGAGTGGCAACATAATCTACTTCTGCTGCAGTGGCTGTTGTTTCCGCGTCAGCCTCGGTCCGTTGTCTCTGTCGCGGTGGTTCACGCCTCTCCTCGCCCCACACAATCTGCCGCTCAAACGCCTCGTCCCCTTTAGTCGGGCACTCGTCTACCCAGTGTGTACCCTTCTCCCCGCACCGGTGACACACGTAGAAGCGCGGCACGGTCTTCGCATCACGGTACTTATCACGCATAAGTTGTACCTTCTGTCCGCGTGTGAGAGTGCCGTTGGGGCCGAGTGGAATAATGCGTTTTGGGCGGTCGTGATCTGTGTGCCTTTGAACTGCAGCAGTGGCTTCTTCCTTTGAGTAGACGTCTCTCGCAATACCCTCAGGAAGGTTCTGTGGGCCCTGCTGTTGTTCTTTTTGTTCTTGTTGTTGTTGTTGTTGTTCCTGATGTTGATCTCGGCGCCTTTCTGCTGCTTTTACGGCTGCTGCATTTGTCGCCTGCCGCAGTGCATCTGAAGCAATGTAGGTCTCCTCTGTTCGTGGGTGTTTCCTAACCAAGACACCGTGCTGACGCAGCCAGCGGCGACGCTCGTCTGGCAGGGTGACTCCCCTTGACGCCTTGTAGAAGAGCTCTTCCACCTTTGACTTCACCGTCTCCTGCGTGGGAAAGCGATTCTTGCGCTGCGCCAAGTAGCTGCCCACGTCCGCGAGATCGGGTGCGTCCGGACGGTTGTGGAGCGTCTCGGCGTGCACCGCCATTTTCCACTCTTTGCCCTTTTGGCAGGTGAATTTGCAGCCAGGAAAGGTGCACCAGATATGATCCTTCATGTGTCTTTCATACCGCTCCTGGGTGAAGAATCCCTTCTGGCAGGGATCGCAGTAGAACTTGCAGTCCTCCCGCTCCATTGGTGGCTGTTCAGGCACTAATCCAGGGAGACCGTCGAGGGGATTTGCCGGCAGGTCACGCCAGGAGCGCAACTCGCGGGCCCTCGCGTGCTCGTCGCGGCCCGATGTCTCAGAGAAAGTGGATGGTAGAAACATACGTATACAGACGTGCTGCTTTCGGTCACCGCTGCTTTGATTTCTTCGAGA